GAAGATGAGGGAGTTAAGATGAAATACTAAGTGCGATCTGTACATTGGAAAATCATACCTATCTTGAGAAGAAAAAGTGATTCTTAAAAAGGAAAGTAAATTGAGAATATTACAAAGCAGTAGGTTGTTTGCGGTGTTTTAAAGTCTGGATGTAGTTTGATTTGAAATAGCAACGTTGCGTTTAGTTTGGAGCAATAGGTGAACTGAGGAGTCAGGAGGATTTGTACTTCATATAGACAAATACAATGGTGGACAGACAGCTGCCGCTAGAATAGTCACTGGAAACTCAATTTGCACTAGGAAAAGCATAATGATCAAAACAGGTTTAAGAGGTTCCCTCTAATATGCAGTCTGTGTAACACATTTGGTGTAGTATTTGAAGTTGTTAGGTATTTGTTCAGAGACTATGGCATATTATCCAGAGAAAATCAACTGACATGGAGATGATTTGGGGGATCAAGGAGACAATAAATAGAAACAGAAGAGAAACCAAATCTTTGAGGAGATATGTCAACTTTACACAGAGGTTGAGAAAGCTTTCCTGTGAAAGAAGCTGAGAACTCATGCACAGGGAAGGGCCCTCTCAATCCAATGGAAAATGAACTGCAGCCACCAGAATTTTCTCAAAGGGCTCTTACATGGTGGAATGGGCTGTCCGAGGCAGATGTCCAAGGTCCTCCACTGGATGTGTTCAAGACACATCCAGTAGCATTCGGAGAGGAAGGGGGCCAACATTGGGATGTTGACAGAGGGTAAGGGTACTCCCACAAAGTGAAATGATAAATTCTCACCATTTAAAAATAAAAGTAAGCTATGAAGATGGTCTCTTTTTTTCAATTTTGTGTTTATAAATATCACGTGGGAAATTTGCCATAGAAACTATGGTTTGAGAATAAAATGGGGAAAGAAGGATACCCCAAAGTAAATCTGCAAGTATCTAGGATTTCCAGATTTGAGTCACAGCCAGCTGCTATATGGTCAGCATTTCTCTACCAGCTTTATTGTGTAAAATTTAACTTGGTGCCATCTGCAATCTTTAGGTAAGGAGGTCGCCTTACATATAATCACTAAATGCAGTCCTTCATCAAGGTGAGTTTGTCTTATATTTAGATAAAATGATTATAAGTGTTTGCTTTTGAGATTGTAACATCCTCTGTACCCGCTCTCCTGCCTAGTACATAATTAACCTGTCAACCCACCCTGCAGTAATAAGTGTGATAGACAGGAAATATATTAGGAAGGAACTTTTGTGTGATGTGCTTTCAAGCCCTCCTTTATCCTTCAACTATCTTTCCTTTTAATTAGCACTTGGGTAACAGCATACAGTAATGAATTACCATATTACTGTTATCAATAAAAATTATTTTGGGTCTAAAGTAGTCATTAAGATGAAATGTGTAAGATCTGTTCTGGATAGTTTGTGGGGAGATAGCAGTTGGAAATCAAGCACTATTTTGTACATTAATATAAAAGATTCTGAGGATTCTCAGATTTGTAAATCTATGTTTACTAAACATAAAGATACGAATACATTGGAGATTAAGGAAAGAGAATGAATACCTACATGTGGACTGATGCATTAAAGAAGGTCTTTCTGTTAGAGATGGCATATTTAGGAAACACATTTTCCTCTGTTACCTCCCTAGAAACAATAGAAAGAGGGATATTTGTATCACAAATGCAAAAGAATGGGAAAAGATGATAACTCAATGCTGCAGGCAATGACTTTTCAGGTCTGGGCATTTTGAACTCTCAGCTTGTACTAGAGAAAACAGAGGAATAACCCAACTAACCCACTTCCAGTGTCACCTACAAGCTTAAAATTGTCATATCAGGTGTCTACAGCAGTGGATGTGAAGTTGGAACTAGGAAAAAAAAGTTCAGGCAGAAGTTTCAGATTGTACATGGAAATTACATTTTCCTCTTAGATGAGCTGGGCACCTTCCCTCCTGTTTGGCAGTTGAAGGGGGAGGTGACTTCTGGGGAGAGGGTAAAAGCCTGGGCATGTTAAGAGCATCGACATGATGCTCTTCTCCCACCAGGTCTAAGAGTTTTGGCAGCCAGAATTATACCTTCCAGGCAGAAAATAAGCAGCCAAGGAAATAAAGCTTAAAATTCTCAGCAAAAGGCCTAATGAGTTCCACCTGTAATAAAACCTACCAACATACACAGAACATAAGCAGGGTTTTGTGTCATCCTCAGAAATGAACATGCACCAAAAACAATCACAAAGAAACCCAATGAAGATATCATGGAAAAGACAACAAAGCATAGAAAGAATACCGTGGACCAACACAAGAAATCATGTAGGAGAGAAAAAACTTTTTAAAAAGTCTCTAATTATATCCTTAGGTAAACAAGAGGAAATATTACATCTGTCAAGCAATAACAATGTTATAAAAAGAGAATTATCATAGGACAAGAGATATCTGGAAATAAATTCAGGAAGATTAAAATTAAAAACTCAATAAGTAGATTGAACCATATCACTATGAATACTTACAGATAATATAAAAATAGGGGACAGAGAAGGTTGTTGTGGTGTACACCTATAATCCCAGCGGCTCTAGAGGCTAAGGCAGGAGGATCATAAGTTCAAAGCCAGCCTTAGCAAATGTAAGGACTAAGCAACTCAGTGAGATCCTGTCTCTAAATAAAATACAAAACAGGGCTGAGGATGTGGCTCAGTGGTCAAGTGCCCCTGAGTTCAATACCTGGTACCACAGAAAAAATGGGGGACAGAGAATATAAGTGATAATAAAAACAAAAAAAAAAGTTCAACAGGTTTAGTAGTTAAATAATCAAAGCAAAGAATATAATCAAAAGAATTCAAAAATTATTCTCCGCAATGAATACATAAGTTGCAAGAATGAATAGTGTCTTCAAGTACTCTGTAAAATGAATCAAACACATTACAGGGTGCAACATCATGATATTTCAGAATCAATCTCCTCAACTATATTTCAGAATTTAGAGCACAGAGGACAATGTCTTTAAAACACTGAGGAAAAAAGAAAGAAACTATCTTCAAATTTAGAATTCTCTTCTTAAATTCTCACTTGCATATGAATATCAATAAAAGCATTTGTAGACAAGTGATATTGTAAGCTTTGCCTCCCAGGTGCCCTTTCTCAGAAATGCACCAGAAGAGGTGCCATTCGAAAATAAAGAAAGGAAACTACAAAATGAAAAGAGGAAAAAAAATAACATGCAATCCAGGAATCAAGGCAGGAAATCCCAACTTGATAATGAAAGGAGATACTAGACTAGAAGCCACATAGCAGTCTTAGAGATAAATAGTTCAGCTCTGAGCAGGTCAGAAGAACCCAAAAGAGATTTTCCAAGGAGATGAGGCTGATCAAATATGTGATGTGTTTCAACATACAGAGAAAAGATTTAGACATCAGAGATAGGAGTTTGGGGATGAATGACACGTAATTCTTGAATGCCACACATACAAAAGAAAAGGCTATTCTTACTTCCAAGCAAACCAAAAGGTTTTGTGGGGGGGGGAAAGTCATTAATTATCATAGATATGATAATTCTGATCTAACACTGCAATTATTTCCTTGGGCCGGGGGATCATGTATATGTGGAAGGCTAACAACACAAAGAATGAGCTCCCTCTCCTCCATGGTGCTAAGTCAATAGACAATGCCTTAAGTGGAAAATTAAAACACCAATGCAAGTGTAGTATTAGGAAACACGAGAAGGTGCAACTATTTGAGAGCTGCCATTTTCTACAGCAGCAGTTGAAGGTCTGTGGGAAGGCATGCATGCTTTTCATAATTAATCTCACAAAATTATTTGCATCTTTTTGTGCTATGTGAAAAAAAGAAAAGATTTTGAATGTCAGCATTCAGGATCATAGTTAAAGTTCTATCTAGAGGCCCAACGCTAGTCTCATGGACAGAAGTATCTTGTTAGATGGTGCCAATGAAGAGAACATCGCCTGTTGTTCTATTTCTATGACACAAAGCCTCTGGGGAAGACAAAGGGTAGCCAGAGGAAGTAGCAGAATTAATCAGAAGTGCTTAGAGCCCACTCCTCATTTTTACAGAATGAGAGATTTTATCGCTTTTTACTCCTCCTGAGAGAAAGTCAAGGAAACTCTTTCTGTGCTCTCCCAGAATGACTTCCAATAAATTTAGCAGAAGGTCATGCATGTATGAAGCTCAGGTACTTCTGGGGATGGCTTCTTCCTGCAGGCACTGTCCTCGGGACATGGGTATTCCCTGTCTGTCCCGGGGTTTACATTTCAGGCAGTTTCTGACCCTGATCCAGCAGAAAGTAATCTGTAGTTTGAGAGACATGTTCAAATCCAGAGGGAAAGTATATTCCATAAGGTGACTATTGAATGAGATAAATCCACACTCTCCAGTTCAGCTTTATCAATAAGAAAACTGACATTTCAACTCTATGTGCATGATTCTTACACAGTATTTCTCAGCTGCCTTCAAACTCAGGAGAAAATAAAGAGGGGATTTTTATTGGAGACCCTTCAAGCCTCAACAGACATCCCTGCTTTCCTGGTTGCAGGAGCACAGTGACAAGAGATAATGACACTGATTTGAGTCATGGTGAGCACAGGAGAGGCTGTGATGTGTGACACAGTGCTCCTTCCAGAAGAGAAGAACTGAATTCCTCCCTATCAGAAGTGCTGTTCATAAACTGCAGTCCTCAAGAACTGCCTTGCCCAAAGACACATCCCTTCTTCCCCCAGGCAAGTCACACCACTGACTGGCTAATCCAGGCCCATAAGGCCCAAGGCTTTAAACAAGTCTGAAGACCATTCCAGCTTCGTAGGGGCCAGCAGAAATTGGGGATGAAACTATATCACCACGCAGCTTCTCCCTTCCCTCTTCCTTCAGAATTCTGCCCAATTCTGCTTCCTTCAGCAACAGTTGATTCTAACAGAACCCAACAATCATCTCTGAAACAGTTCACTCCATTTCAGAATCAGCTTCCCAGGAAATTCCACCTTCAACGGTGAGTACCATGTTATATAGTGAAGGCCACCAAGGTTTATAAGGGATAACACTGACTGTCTTGGCTCTTCCCTTGGGCATTTTACATGCTTCGGTGGACGTGTGACAATGCTGTAGGTAGGTATTACAGCCATGTAGAGGATGAGGACACTGAACTTCAGAGTGATCCAGTAACTTGCCCTGGGTCATACTGCTCACTCAGAGCCGAGCTGACCCATTAGTCAAGTTAACCTATCTACAATAACTGTCCTCTAAACCTCCTCACTAGAGCTCTCTCTTAAAGAAAATGCCAATTTCTATAGTTCTGGACCTTTATGAATGTGAGAAGTTTGCCATAAGGGAGTTCTCTTTGGGTAAAGTATTCTCTGCCCTATACATCTTGCCTTAGCAAGTACACAGATTGGGCCATCAAAGCAGGATCCCAAGTTTACTTTTGTCTTCAGGTGAACTAAGGAAGTTAATCTTTGAAAGATTCCTTCCTCCACTAACTTGTTCTATGATGTCAGGAAAGCAGCATAACAGAAGGTAGATATAAATGAGGGAAAAATGTTTTCTCTCTTCTTCTATTTCTATAGTCCGTCTTTTTTGTTTGTTAACTTGAGTTATCTGTGATGCTATTCTTCAAAACTAGCTCTTTCTGAAGGAATCTGTTTTTCATCCACACTTATTCTCCCTGGGAGAATTCCATGGTTCTGGCTAAAGTCCAACCCAATGAACACCAACCACAGGCTCTCTAAATGAGAAGCAAATCCAGACATGACCTGTTCCAATATACAGAATGGTTCTTAGCCTCTCAGTGACTGAAGAGATACAAAATATCTCATTTTATGATATAGGAAGTTTAACTTATCAGTCTCTTTAGTGAAACACGATTTTGGTGTTGGTTGGGGTGGAAGTAAAGCAGTCTACCTGCATATGTAGATGATATTCAAAATCACTCTAATACTCTAAGTATACCAATGACGATTTTGAAATATAGTACAGCATTTTGACACCAATCCATCAAACTGTCATCAGCATCTTAATCCCCCTTCCCTAACAGACAGCTTGAGTGTACTCGATCTCTGCTCATTTTTTCTTGTTTCCAAGATTATATATATTTTTTAAAAAAGTACCATTTCTATTCCAGTAACTTTACTACTTTCTTCCTTCTCTCCTCTTCCCCTTCCCTTCTCAAATTCCTTTTTTTTCTAACTACTATCAAAATTCCTTATGTTACAGTTGGGCAAACAGATTCCTAAGAAGGAAATAACAAGTTAGTAGACTTAGTGTACTACTTGGCTGGTTAAGCCCTAACTATTTTTTTTTTTTAGAAGTCTGGCACTGTCTAGACAGCACTATCCTATACAAGTATAATGTGAGACACATCTGTAGTTTTAGATTTTAGTGGCCACATTAAAATGTGAAAAATAAGCCAAATTAGTGAGATTACTTTTAATACTTTATTTGGTATCCCTAGATATCCAAAAATACTGCCATTTCAATGTACAACCCTCATAAAAATTAATAAGGCTATTCAACATCATTTTTTACACTAACTCTTTGAAAGCTGCTGTGTATTTTAAACTTATGCATATATCCAAATTAGCCATGTTTCAATATTTTCTGAGTGGCATGTGTGGCTAGTGGCTACTATACTGGGAAGTGTAGGTACAGAGTCTGGAATAACATGGCAGAGCTCTTGCTTCCCAGAGACTTGCCAATTACATGGGACCTCTGCCTCTGCTGAACACACCAGCAGTGGAAGATGTACAGGAATTTAACTGGTTCTGACTTGTGTTACTCTCCGACTCCTAAGCCCATCTTTGTCCCAACCTGACCTTTACTCTTTAAACTTGGGCAAGTCCTTTACTAATACAGTCTTACAATCTGAAACCTAAACTAATCTAGTTCCAAAGACAGGGATTTTACATATCCTCCACAGAGAAAAATGATAAATCAGCCAGCTGTGAAGGCGGGTGAATCAAACAGAATGGGGCTAAACACTCCACATCCCATTTCAATCAAGGGTCTACCCTGTCAGAAGTTATCTGATTCTCAGAAGTACCCTGAATTCTGTTTACTACCTCAGCATAACAATTTATGTGGTGCTTCTTCCCCCAGAACCCGCTGTGATTGCTTACCCTCCTGTGCTACTTCTCAAATAACTGCCAAAACCTAAAAAGAGAATCCGGATGCCCTCCAGGCTTTAGAATTTCAGACAGGGAGAACAGTGAAAGTATCTCTCTTCAATCATTATTCCGTTTGCAGAAAATCAACAAATCTCATGAGTAAATAAAGTTCCCAGGCATTTTTTTTAACCCTTCTTAAGTTGGTGATAATTTCGTGTGTGTACATGCATATCTGAGTATATTTGTCTGAATGTATGTTTGCATTTTTTATTCACCTTTCTCCACAGAGCTCAGAGATGAGCCGAATCTATTCATCTTCTCTGCATGTCACTTGCATGGCAGCAATAATACTTTTCTGCCAGTTTTAACATAAAATACAGAAGTGTACAGAGCAATGGCTTACTTTCCCAGTATCGTTAGGAAATTATTTATTTAATATGGATGACATTTCTGTATAATTTGAGGCAATTTGGTTTGTTCTGTTTCATGGTACTACACTATGTAATGTAAAAATTTTTTAGCAACCTAAAAAAAAATATATCCCCATTTCACGTTTAAGGAAATTGAGTGCAGGAAGGAGAAGTAAATTTGGCCTTGGAGATGATACTTACATTATATACCACCATAGACTTTAGCCATCAAGCTACATAGTCTACAGGTTAAAAAAAAAAAAAACCTACTTGTTTCAGTACTTTCAATGTTCTTTGCTAAGAAGGTTAACCATGTTAACTCTCCTCTGTTCTGAAGCAATGTCATATCTCACCAAAGAGAGCAAAGGCTATAGGATTTGTGGAAACCCTTTTCCTTTTAGAAATCAGTTCAATTTCACCTGCTGTGTATGGGTGGGGTGGCTGGAAACATAGCCTATGGGCAAGTGATGATTTCTTTCTGATTTATTCAGAATGAAAGAGATAGGACCATAGCTCAGTGCTCAGTTCTTGAGTCAGAGGTTAATCACCTCTCTGGTGATGCAAGTTAGCTGAATGATGTGAGTTAGCCCAAGGCACATTGGCAAGTGTTGTCCCAGGTGACCCTTATCCTTGAGACACTAAATCAGCATCTAGCAATTGATCAGTATGTATACATGAATGAGCACTTTTTCCTTTGAGTGAGTATGTATTCTCCATTTTATGTTTCTATCACAGTATATAAATAGAATTGTAGATAATAAAAGATGGTCAGATTCTTGTTTCTGAAGGCTAGTAAGTCAAGAGCAAGGTACCCAGTACCTGTGGAGGGTCCTTGTGCTGTGGCATAGCATGGCAGAAGGGCACACAAGCACACACAAGGCAGGGAGAGGACATAAACTAAAAAGCATGTGCAATAGAGAGCTCACTTTTATACCTAGCCCACTTGCACAGTAATAGCACCAATCCATTCATGAAAGTGGAACTTTCATGAACTAATCACCTTCTGAGATTCCCAACCTGTCCATTCTATTACACTGACAATTAAACCTCAACAAGAGTTTTTGAGGGACATTCAACAACAGCAGGAATGCATTGCTTTGAACAGAGCTATGATACAAGCATACTCTGATATACAAGGTATAGGTATACAAGCCTCAACTGTGGCTTGAGTTCTTCCAAATACCAGGAGCTTTGCTTAGCCCAGCGTTCATCCTCTTCCCTTCATAACCAGTAGTACAGCTTTGACCCGTGGTGGGGGCCATAGTGATCATTCATAATAGCTGTGCACAGTTGATTCTGTATTCAAACAAGGAGATCTGAATTTGCACATAAACAAAATTGGGCTTTGAGCTTTATTCCTATCATTGATTTTTTTATGCATTTTGAGAATAGGCTGTCATAAATAATCATAGATATTGCAATAACTAAAAGAAGAATCAAAGTGCTTTTTGGATTTAAGAGAATGCATATATTTAATTAATTAAAAAGTATTAAGTTCTATAAGCTTTTATTCAATGACTAATATTATAAGGAAAAGGGAACATAATCTACATGTGTAATGAAGAGTTAAGCATAGAAAGAACTAGGATTAGGAAAACAAGAATGGAGATATTTATTTCCAGTTTTTGTGATACCTGTTCTAGGATCTCCTTACCCCTGATGTTGAGGCACTGCCCAGAGCCTTGGCACGGAAAGGAGACTGAGTGAGGAACTGGGGCTCCAAGGACCACCAACCAGGAGCCCACAAGTATCAGGACATGGTACTCTGACCTTCTCTGTAAAAGTAGCCTGCATGACTTTGGTTTGTATACATGGTACACCAAATCTCACTGCCTCTAACATTTCCCATGAAATATGTAAGAAGTGAAAAGTTATACTCCCCTACACACACACACACACACACACACACACACACACACACACACATATCCTGGTCAGTAATCTTATAAACCCACTTTCCTTTCTAAAGCTTATTCCAGGTACGCCCCTTCCTGTACACGGCAGATGAAAGATTGCCATATTTCCTTTTCTTTCTTCTTTTCTTTGCTTTTGCTCACCCAAGGAATGTATTTCACCTTCACCTGAAACTTAACTGGTCCTATAATTCTCTTTGGCCAATAAGATGCAACAGACATGCATGGACATTTCCAAGGTCGGACCTCTTCCTTTCTCACTTGCACATCATTGGAATTCTCTTCCTGGAACTCAGCCACCATGCTGTGTGGAGCCGAATCCATGTAGAGGCCAGGAGGAGGAGATTCGAGGAGCTCTGGATGACAGCCCAGCTGAGCTCTACCCTCTGGCCAGCACCAGCTGCCAGTCATGTAATTGAGCCATCGTGAACACTACTACAGCCTCGTTGTGCCTTCAGAAGACTGCAGTCCCAGCCAACCCCACATAGAGCAGAAGAACTGCCCAGCTGAGACCAATTCTACATTGAACTGTGAAAGACTACAAATGGTCATTATTTGAAGCCATTAAGTTGGGAGAGCAGTTTATTATAAGGTCAAAAATAACTAAAGCATTCCCTCATTTCTATTCAGCATTTAGCCTGAGCCTAGACCCTTAATATCCCTAATGTTTTGGAAATAAATGTCCAAATACATCACACATAATAAAGGGTCAGAGGATATTAAGTGCATGTGTACACAATTCACCTGTTTGCACACCATAAGAACGTTGTTTTGGAAAAGTGATTGACAAGTACACATTCTTAGTGTACTAAGGAGCATCCCAATTCTTCCTTGGCCACCACTAAATACCAGTTTAGAGGAACCACGGCAGGTGATGTGATTTCACGTGTCTCCATATGCTCCTGCTGCTTATTTCTCTACGGTGTCTCATGCCCTATCAAGGCTCCACAAGGTATATGCAGCGGTTTTCCAGTTGTCAGAAATGGAGAAGTTTGTTTTCTTTCCTAAAACTGCTCAGCTCTATGACTTCATCTTCAGGATTTAAGAGCAAAAGACCCTGATAGGGGAGGCTGCCAAAATCCGCAGAGAACATTAGTGCATTTTACAGACTGTTTAATATGTACAGCATTCCAATGACAATCATGGATTAGCTAGCCTCTTTCATTCAATGCAATTTTTTTTTTGTCTTACATTTTAATGTCTCAGGTTTTCCCTGTCTATGTTAAACTGCAGCCATTTTTTTCTTCATGTTTTCCCCATCACTGAAAGACTCAAGATCCTTCCTAGGAAATCTTTTGATAAGAACTGTTTAAACAAAATATCTTACATGCTTATAATTTACCAAGTTCTTTAAATAAATCATCTCCTTTGCATCAGTCTGTTCATGAATAAGATTCTGGCTTTGGGTCTTTTAAGGTCTGTCTTCTGAGGACGGTAATTGTGTAAGGGCTATTGATCTAGCAGATGTTTGCTTGCTTCTCTCAGATGTTTCTCCAGTCCATTGTCTTTGCTCTCAGGCATTCGTACAGGCAGGAAATATAAAGATGCATTTTATTCTGGGACTTGTCGTAGCTAATCACTTTCCAACAATCATTTTGAAAAAGCAACGGCGTCATTGATGTTTTACAATTATGCAAATCCACAAGAGGGGAAATACTGCCATTACTTCCTTCCACTGTGAAAGCACAAGGGTTTAGAGTGGAGTTGGGTGTCAAGTAGGTCCAGGTGAGGAACTTGATTAGAAGCAACAACAAACTCTAGAGTATCTTGTTCCACGTGTGATACCAGAAGTGAAAACTCTGCTGTTGATGCCTCCTCCAAGTTTAAGAAATACCACCATTGCGGGAAGTTAAATCACTTAGAATTCAAGTACATTAGCTAACTAATGTGACTTTATTCACATTAGTTAGTAGCAATGCCCTACCCACAGCATTGCTCTCCTCTAAGCCCTTCTATGGAGAATTTCTGGCCACTCACACTTCTTTTTTATCTCTACCACTTTCTACCCTAACCGCCAAGAAGTTGAATATGGTCAGACAAAACTGAGAAGAAATTAAAGAATAAATCAGAGTGAATCTCCGGAGAGGAACCTCATCACACCGTAGTGCATTTGTTCTAAGATAGACCACTGACATCAAATTCCAGCTCTGACATTTAATACACAACTTAAGCTACCTTATTGATTTCCTCCTTTATAAATTGGAATAATAAGTATTTAACATACATTGTTGTTAAGAGATACAATATATAGTGTGCTTAGCATGCACAAGTTCAAAATTGTTATCACCTATGTTGAATTCCACAAATATTGCTTAAGCACGTTCCATGTTCTCTCTGCCAGGTATGAACAAGGAGAACAGGACACTGCAAAGACTTACAAATGTGTGAAGGGTACTTTAGCTAAGGGATTCTCAAATTAACTGGTAGAATATTATTTCTCAGTGTGTCGATGAAAGTGTTTCCAAAAACAATTTACATTTGTGTCGGTAGTCTGAGTAAAAAAAGTCCACCCTCAGCAGGTAAGTGGGCATCCTGCAAACCACTGAGAGTAAGGATAGAGCAAGAAGGCAGAGGAACAGGGACTTCACTCTTCTGTTGGAACTGAGATCTCCATCTTCTGCTCTCAGATACCACTGCTTCTGGTTTTTAGGCCTTAGGAATCTGACCATGAATGACACCATCAACATTTCTGGCTTCCCAGCTTGCAGACGGCAGATCATGGAACTTCTCAGACTCCATAATTGCACAAACCGATCCTTGTGATACATCCTGGAAACATTCAATTGCATGAAGAGGAAACAAGACCACAAGGGAACGCAAGCACATTGAGTGGGAATGCATGCAGTTAGAAAAGCCTTCTTGAGATGGCATACTTTGAAGAAAGAACAGATTTTTAATAAGGGGTAGAATGAATGAGGAGAGAAATCCATGAAAGCAAAATTAGGGAGGTTAAAAGTGTCCCTTTGAACAAAGATTTCAACATGTTCAATGTGTTCGGCAAAAAAGCTACTCTGACCAGCATCTATATTTCACCCACTCATAAAGTAAATGAGTTTGTAGAGCTCCAAAGATCATTGCATTTTCTTGCAACTTCAATGCCCAAACAGATATCAGTAAACCCAAGCAGGTATTTAAAAACCACAAATAGGTATTTAAAATTAAGGGGGTCCAATAAAGAGGGAGGTGGAGAGCGGAAAAACATACAATGAAGAAGTCACACATAAACACTGAGATGAATAACAGAGGAGATCATCACCTGAGTGTGTACATTTCTGTCATTTCATGAGGGTCCTGAACAGGAATGGGAAAAGCTATCTTAGGTACGTGCATGAGTAAGCATTAGAACTGCATATCCATTGTAAGTCCATCTTACAGTGGACTGGATGTCCTTATCTTGTTAATTTCTGCTTCTTTCACCACCCTCTTACACCTGGCAATTGCTTTTGCATTGAATTCTGGGTAGGAGAAATTAGAAGGGAATTCGAATTTACACTAAATTCAGAGTTTGGGAAGTTTAATACTAACAAGGGCTCTTATTAGGAATAAGTTTTCAATTTTGTCCAGAAATCGAACCAGTTTGAGATCAGATTAAATAATGTCTTCTCATTCCAAGAAGAGTCCGTAAACCAACATCCTTAATATCTCACTTGACTATACACCATCCCCTTTTCACCTAAAGCACAGCAAAGACTTAGCAACCAAAAGCAACACAACTTAGCCAAAGCATTAGGTACATCATGCAAGAATGGAAACTAAAATATTTTAAGACTGGGAGGAAAATAACCATTTGACAAGGGAAGAGTTAATTTAAATTTAGTTTGAGTCATTTTGGCTGGATGGTGTTTATCGGGAGAGCAGGATGAAAGTGGATTGAGTGTCGAGGGAAAGCAAGGGCTTCTTGCAGCCTACAAACTCAAGACACATTTTCCTCAATACTATTTTGGACTTTATTCCCCCCATCAGCTTTCAAATTTCAATCACTACCCCACTGAGTCTGGGGAGAAATTGATAAAGAAAATAATATAGCAGACAATCACAAGTGAATTGAATTTGAGCACAATTGAGATGAACTGCAGTGTTTAAAAATAGAATCATTTCAGAAATGGGCTTAAGGGAGAGCTTTTTTTTCTCTTATGTGTAGCTTAAATGTTTGAGACCAGAAAGAAGAGAAGGAATTAGAAGGGCGGGCAGATGGGGGACAGGTTGGGAGGAGGTTAGACACTGACTTTGCTAAATGTTTATTTAATTCCTCTCAGCTTTTTCATTTTTTTTGGACAGTTCTTCAAACTACCTGAACTGCATTAGAAGGAAAAATTGTTAAAATAAAATGATGTCGCCTGTAATCATAGGTGAATTGAATTTTTCCACATGGGCTGTAGTGCGTAAAGCCATATATTTCATATATATATATATGAAATCACTGAAGTTTTAAAGAAGAAAAAACAGAACCACAAAATCATAGAATTTTAGGACTTAAAAGGAACTTAAGAGATTATCTAACCAATTTCCTACATGGGACTGTACTGTCAGGACCCTCAAGAGAACTTTAAAAAATACTATTTCCTGGTCCTGCTCAGAATCTACTAAATCAGACTCTCTGAGACTAAGACTCTGGAATGAGTAGTTGAAAAGCTCTCCAAATGAAGCCAGACTGATATTTGAACCTACTGATTTAATGAACCTCTCATGATTTATAGAAGAGGAAACCAAGTTGAAAACAGGAGAATCCACAAAGGATATTAACCGACAAGGCAAAGAACGCAAGCCGGTGTTCCTGGATGCTGCTACACTGTGCTTTTTACTGCTCCAGAGAGAGAGGAAGAAAAGAGGGTAAATGGCCCCAGAATAATTTGGGTTAATAGGTTCTCCCGGGGGAAAGGGTCGATGTCCCCGCAGACAGGGTGATCAGCCCTATATCACACATTGCCAGGACCAGCTAAGAAGCACCTGACCCTTCTTGAGGCTGAAGCCAAAGCTGTACAAACCTGCACTGCCTTGGTGAGTAGTCACAGTACTTCCTTTGGTCTTTGGAGTCCAGGCTCATTGGTCAGCGATCATTTCCTTAATGACTGGGTAATGCGGTTCACAGACTCCAGTCCTGAAATGAACTCAGGCAGAGGATATGAAGATACAGGTGCAAGGCCTCACCACTGCTAGGCTGGGGGGTGGGGTGGGGGGGGTGGAAAGAAAAGCCAATGCCTGTAAATATCTAGAGAAGGAGCCGAATCAACATTTCCTATAAGCAGCTCTTTCTGATTTAGGAAGATGCTCACGGCAGTAACAGATTTTCAGAATTTGAAGTGACCTTAAAATTCATGTAGATTCACCAAGGCAGGAATCGTACCCACAAAGCCCACGTGAGGTGGTGAGCACATTGTGTAGAGGAGCTCACTCTTTTTTTGTAAAGTATCCCACTTTGTGTCTCCTCTTGCATTGCTACAAAGAAAAAATAGTTCCCCAGTCAAGAAGATAATTTTCTTCTCTGTAATTTCTAAACTTTCAGGTTTCTCCCCTGGTTCCCTCCCCTTTACCTACTTTCCTTCCTTCCTTCCATTCCTTCCATCCTTCCTCAAATAAATGTTGCTTCCTATAACCATAGCAGATCCTGAAATATTTGCAGAAAACTATCACACGATTCCCGTTCCAAACACACAGAGGCAGTCTGCTGATCTCCATGTGGACCTACTGTGCTAGTCTGGGGCTTAGAGTTCTGGTACACCACTTATCACCTCACAGTGGACTCTACAGGAGGCCTCTTACGCCCTGGACAGTGATCTACTTCAGAGTGGACATTGCAATGCTGTCATTCACCTCTGTATTACCCTTCTCCAGGAGATCACGTTTCAGAGGGCCAGAGGCATCCCATACCATCAACTGTGAGGTGACAAGTGGCACACACACCAGGGATTGGAAAGTTTGGGGCAACTAAGTCACACCTCGTTCTACTTTCAGCCTACCTCGTCTTTGACATGAATGCCCTCAATGCCTGGAGCCTTCCGGCTTTGTGACCCAACTCAGTTTTGCTCTTCATTATACCATCATCTCTGTCACACAGTACTCAGTTAACACTGTTGAAATAGCTTTATGTGACAATTCCCAGATCTTTCATAAATCTTAACATGGTCTTCATCTGGACACAGAACACCTTTAAAGGATCTTTAAAACAACAACAACAAAACATACCCCACCAAACAGGGTCTTAATGCATCCTGGGATTATTGCTTCTCTTGTCCTAGATCTTATACAACTTAGATGACACTTGATGTTCAAAGAGTCATCTGTGCTTTTGGTTCAGGCTGACTTTTAAAATTATTTAAATCTGAGAATGAATATGTATAGTAATATTCCCCTAATCTTGAAGAAAGAATTCATAGTTTTGACTAAAATAC